TAAACCCTAAAAAAGAGACGTTGGTTGAGAAACCCTAAACCCTAAAGGGAGATGTTAAAGGAGATGTTCGTTGAGAAACCCTAAACCCTAAAAACGAGACGTTGGTTGAGAAACCCTAAACCCTAAAGGGAGATGTTAGTTGTCAATTGGGTGAGAAACCTAAACCCTTCAAAGAGGTTGAGAAATCCCAGGAGGGAACGCAGGGTGATTGCGCCCGGAAATGGCTGCCTGGCTCTGCCTGAACCTGCACAGGCTCGGGCCTGAAATTGAGGCCCGAAACGTGGATCCGAAACACGCAAAGCGGGCCTAACGCCGATACAACCCGTGAGCTGTTACGCCTGGACGATCCTGAACGTTTGGTGTTGAATGTTTGACACTCGGCATGATTCAATGAGGTACTGGCGGCCATTTATGCCTGACTCGTAAAATGCATCATCCTTGACTCCGGCCGCCCGACTCTAGCTGTCATCTTTCCGGACTCTCTCCGCTCAGGTTCCTGACGCGTGGTTCATGACAAACCCCTTTGTTTTCTGAATCGGGCATGAGCATCATAATTTAACCTGGAGACGGTCAGCAACATCACGAACGTTATTGGTAATTCTTCTAGTCTTGTCTGCGCAGGCACATCACTCCTGCGGCTTGCCGGATCGAGGTAATTGCATGTGAACATTTCGCTGTACGACAGCCTTCTCCAGACGCCATCTGCCGACAGGACGGCGTGGCTCTGTCGGCTCCTCGCCTCAGAGAAACCCAGCTTGCACCAGACCGATGCAAGAAGACGAGGCTTTCTTACGAGGCCCTTGCATCGCAGCATAGACACAGTGGATGCTCCAGCGATGATTGCAGCCGCCAACGGGTATTGAAGGGGAAGCCATCTCTGTTCCGAAGCTTCTTTGGCTCCGCACCTTCAGGCACTGTGCAGTGCCCTGTCAGGAACTTCTGACACAAGAAGGACATGCCTTTCACTGACCCCCTCCTCCCCATCGCAGCAACTATGCGGCATCTGCAGGTCCCAAAAGCCAGCATGGCGGAGCGCCTGTTCAGAAAAGGAAACGTCAGATGGCTAAAGATCCAACATCTCTCCAGATGAACGAGCCTTGACGGTCCTGACACTTGTTTCAGCAGCTGTCGCATAGAAGCGGCAGCCATGCGACTCATGCAAGCTGTAGACATGCGCGGCTCACTGTATTCAGCTGGCTCCCTCTTTCAATACATCCTCTCCAGTCGTGCTTCTCGGTGCTTCTTGTACAGGCCAATGCTCCTGTGAGCTGGAGGCTGAGCGGACACTTGCATCTCGCCTCGAGCAGGAACTAGCAACGTGGGCTGCGCCCTACGTGCGCAGAACAAGATCGAGACACAGTACTCCTCAGGTCTTGGCGATCTAGGCTGCCTTTCATTGCCGGGAGCTAAGTAAGATGCGATTGCATCAACGGTTGCATGTCATTCCTTGCTGCTACTGCACACATGCCGGGCATGTATCCTGGAAAGACACCGTGCCGAGAATACCCGGCATCACATGCAATTTTGAGGCCAAGAGCACATGAAGTTGGCATGCCGCATGCTGCGCGAAGCTGCTGAAAATTCGGCTTCGAAAACTGGCGTGAAACATGACCTAATCCCTCTTGTAGAGACCACGGAATGCAACATCCTTGTCAAGGATGCTCTTCGCTCAAGCGCTTTCCGGATACTTATGGGCTGTGTTTCCGAATCCATGCTGCCGGCCACTCAAAGCCTAAGCCCTAAACAGAGTGAGGAAAGAATACGAAGCCAAGGACTGAAAGCTGGGCATTGTTCTAAATAATTTCCGATACACGAGTGATCTCGTGGTTGCTGCTCCAATATCGGCACGGAAGATTGAGTCACATCCGCAGAGAAGGAGTCCTCCCAGAGTCGCTGCAAGCATCTCGCAGTGGTCTACAACCTAACTACACTACGGCAAGTTGGCTAGCAGTAATAGGCACGAGCTGCACGGTGAAGTGATTCCATTGCACGATGAGCAAAGATGCACCAACTTTAGGAAGAAAGCACGCTTGCATCGCAACGTGGGGTTCTGCCTTGTCACAGGGGCCGTCCAAAGTGCAAAAGCGCGCGCAGTAGGGCGTGGTGGAAAAGAGATCAGATGCGGATTCTGCCATCAAGCTGGCCATTCGTGGGATGAGCTCAGACACTGCGTTAAGCAGGCTGCACCGGTTCATCTCTCCAGAGAGTCGCTCGAGCACGATGTTCTCTCTAGGCGATTTGCGTGGGATCCACAATGGATTCCGCTCTATGCTTCAAAGGTGAAGAAACAGATACAATGATCACGAGGTTGTTCGGCATCCACTTGGATCCGACAATCGTGCTCTCGCAAGAGGTCCATGTGTGCTGTATGGTTTTTCAATAGTGATTTCGTCGAGGCAGATCCCTATGCAACGACAACCACCATCTAGAACCTAATTATTGAATTACGGCAGTGGCACTGCGATAAGGCAGCCTGCATGAGACCAAATGGAGCACCCGGGCTGCACTGCAGGGTTCAGCCATTGAGATGACACTATTGCAGCAACTCTTTATAAAGGAGGGCAGTAAGCCTAAACACACGTCTGACCGCCTGACGGCGACTCCTCCGAGTGTGCGATGACGCAGGCCACATGTCGTCATCCAACAATCTGCATCGAAGCGGTCCGAGGAGTGTTAGGCTAGCTCGATCACTTGGTAACCTGTGGGTTCAACCACAACTGCTTTGTCAATTTCGGCATTGAGCCTTTTTGTACTACTGCACGCTCGCAGACTACTGCTGCTGCGCAAAGCTCACAGCACGCGAGGAGGCACTAACATATCCAAGGAACGTTGCCTGCAAACGAGTCTCTGCTGAGAAGTAGAGCCCGCGGACATCCCAAACGCTGAACGTTACTGAAGCCTACAGCCGCTAAAGCAGTAGCATGTGAAAGTCTGCGGCCTTGAGCACCTCGTCCAGCTTGGACATTGCCTGGGATGCTGTCAAAGAGACCTATGAAAACCTGTAAGGTGTGTGAAGGCTTGAAACACTGACCCAGCCAATAGTGACAAGAAGAATAACGTAGTCGATGTTATACCACTATTATCATGTACGCACTGCAATATGATGTGTAATGCGATGCAACACATACGGCAAAGCCACGCAATGCAAATTGCTGCAATACTCACCCTACCACACATGGTATATCATGGTATGAATATACAATGATTCATTGTCGGCACATTAGAAGCCACCCTGTGATGAGATCTACAGGACTTAGCCATGCATCCCCCTTGAAGCTGCATCGTCCGTCACTGGGCCATGAGCCATCTTTATGTACTCAATCGGCTCCTGGACCTTCACCTCTGAGATGTTGCTGGCTCTGGAGGTACCGCATATTTCAGAGTCACAGATGTCACAGCTGCAGATCGGAGCGTCTCCAGGACTCCAGAGCTTTACTTCCCCCCATAGACGGCGCTCAGCTTGCGAGTTCCTAGCCTTCCCAGATCCAGGCCTTCCCCTCTCCAGGCTGTCCGTACACGTAGTTGTTGGACTCAGACAGGCTTGTGTGATTAAGGCTTCAACGGCACAAAGCAGACATGGTATGCTGCGACCAACTTTCTGTGCCGACGAGGACTAGCAAGTACAGCACATGGCAAGCAAGGAAGGGCGCAGCATGCGCTGTCGGCCAGTTCATTTCTTGAAGCGTGGACCACTTGCAGTGTGGGACTCACTTGACAAACCGGGCAGAGCGGCATAGGAGATCTCATCGGTGACCTGCAGGTCCCTGGCCAGTCCACTTGAGTTCTGCGAAATGTATGGATGTGCCCGATCGCTGGTAGAGAGACACGAAAATACTGCGAGAGAGAGAGATAGAGAGACGGAGAGAGAGA